AATTATTGGAAAGAAGTTCGAACTACATTTAAATATTTAAATAGAACAAATGAGCCCAATTAATTTGTTTGAATCAAACCAATTATTGTATTCAAACCAATTGTTGCATTCAAACCAATTGTTTGAAACGAACTTATTGTTCGATTCAGATTTGTAAATGCAATTTATAACCTACATAAAACGTTTTTCAACTAAATCTTTTCTTCTCAAAAAAATAATATTTTTAACCCATTATCATAAAAAAATTTTTTTTGCAATTAAACAAAACCGAATCATACAGCTACTTATAAATTTTTCCCTTATCTCTATTTTTAGTGTCAATTTAATTTACCATTTTATGTAATTTCGTCTATTAATATTGTGTATACTTAATAGCTGTTCTTAATTCTTCATTTCCAATTACCATCCCTAATTTTAAGGCAAAAAAAACATAATCCTTGTATAGCCTTTATATGGAATTTTTGTTTTCGTTTTGGTTTTCGTTTTGTTTACAACATAATGTATGAACAAATATAGTCGTACATGTATGAATGTATGTCTCTTTATTTTACTGTAATTCTTTGTTATTTGTATACTTTGACAAAATAATATTTTATTTCTATTGTCCTTGCTCCGTTTTTATAGATCCTTTTAAATTATATTAGTATTGCAATTTTCTAATTCTTTTTTTTTTTTTTCCTTTCCAATTTTTTTGTTCTCTTATGTTTGTTGTGTACTTTGTTATTTAGGTTTTTCTTTTTTGGCACGCAACACTAATATACTCAAGTATAATTTTTACAACTATTTCTCTTCTGTCGGTATAATTGCATCAGTAGTACAAATATTATAATAGAACGTGTTAACCCATCCTTTCCACCGTATATATACTCGTATAAAAATGTATACATTAAGAATATTAAAAAAAATGTGTGTATATAAAATAAAAATGGTTTTCTATAAATATATACAATATATATACAATATATATATATATGTATATATAGCAAAAACAAATATAAACAAAATTAAAAATAACAAGTGCACGTGACTGAAATAAAGCGGTCATATGCGAAGAATAGAATTGCAATATGTTTTTAATTTTAAAAAATGATATCGGATTTTGGAATTTACTAATTTATATTTAAAAAGGATATTAAATAAAGTTGGGTCAAACCAATGGTTTGTATTGTAGCACTTTTCCCTTCAACAAATGAAAATTTTGCTTTTAAATACAGTCTATTTGTACCTACCACACTATTAAAATTATTTTCATTCATATATGAAACTATTTCTAGGATTGCCTATATTTAGGATGACGCATATATGCAGTCTTTGAAATAAAGCAAAAATTAATATAAAAAGGGGTTAACATAATGCTCGATTTTAAGGGTTAATTGTGTGAGTTAAGAAAAATAATTATATTTTTTAATTTCATGGAATTTACCGTTAGCTTTTTGCGTTTATAAAAATTTGAAAAAACTTGCGGTTTCGGAAATGTAAGGTGTCAAAAATTCAAATTTTACAAATTTCAAGTGGCGATAACTAGTGAGGGGGTGGAGATGGAAAAAAATTTTCTTCTAACAAAATGAACTATTTGTTAATGTCTAAAAGCCCCTAAAATTTCAAAGTTCTACATTATGGGGTCTAGAAGAAAAACGAGATCAAAAATTTGGAAAAAAAGAACTTTAGATAACGGTAAATTTGAACGGCCATTTTGTTTTTCTAAAGTTTAATTATAGTATACCGCGCTTGGGGAAGCAAGTCGCTGCCTTTCTGCGTTTAAAAAATTTCAAAAATGCTTATGGTTTCATTGCAACAAATATTTAAAAAAGGCCATTTTTAGGGTTTTGGGGGGGTATAACTTCTAGAGGGGGGGAGATAGGTAAACATTTTGTTCTACGGAAATAAGTTTCTAGTGAAGATCTATGTACGTATGAAATTTCAGCTTTCTATCTTCAAGGGTGTAGAAGTTTTGTAAACAAAAAAAGTGTCCACGGACGGACGGACGGACGGACGGACGGACGGACGGACGGACGGACGGACAGAGTGAAACTAATAAGCACTTTTTTCAAAAAATTTTTTGGAAAAGTGCTAAAAAGGATATTTCGGACTTAATTTTTTTTTTTTTTTGTATTGAATTTTAGAAAATTTAGAATGCGCTCTAGAAAACGTAAGTGTTCTGAATTTTTCTTTTACACAAATATTTTTAAAATAGAGAAAAAATAATAAATAAAATTGAAAAATAAATTATAGGAATGATTGATTATCGAAAATGAAAAGCGCTATTGCAGAAAAAATAAGGAATTCTAAAATGATTTTTTTTTTAGGCTGAACATAAAGCAGCTAGTGAATTAAAGCAGCTTTTATTGCCTTGAATATTTTCAAGGCAATAAAATTTTTATAGTACTCTAAAGAGAGCTCATTAATTTTAATTCAAGAAATTGCTGTTGTATTGCAGAATTTATCATAATTCCAATATAGATTTTAAATTAAGGTCAAATAAAATAAAGTGTTTCAATTTGAAATATTATTGAAAACTAAAAATATTATTAATTTAGCACATAAATATAAAATCTAAGAATTTCTTAATCGTATAAAAAATTTCCTTTATAGCAAAGCCTCTCGTACCATACCCCAATAATGTTTTCTCAGTAAATTAGTTGAAATTTTCGTATAACGCACAACTACATTCTGTAAAATTCCTTAAAAACTTAAAATTTCCTAACACTTGCTTTCTTTTAACTACCAGAACAGCAATTATTCTATTTTATTTGTATTTTACACGCTTGTTTTTAAATAAATAAAAAGGAAAGTGTACTAATTTTGATTGTAACAACGCATTTGATATTATATAACAATAAAGTAAAGGGTAAAAAAATAAAATTGAAATTAATTTAATACGAGTATTGAAAAAAAAACACGAATTATTTTAAGGAAATCCGCCAGAGTTAAGTATGTATACCGTATTTTATATAAAATACATAATATTGTGTAAAAAAATATAAGGTGATAAAAGATTAAAAATCATTGACCTTGCTTCTTTTAGGCCCACACTCATATTTTCTACCAATTAAAGCGGTCTCAGCTATAACCAACAATGTTTCTGAAGTATATTTTTATTTGCATATATATTCCGATAGATGGCTTTAATATTTGTGTAATGACAATATATAATATGCCAAATCGTAGTTATATAACAATAGCTTACTCTTAATTTAGCATAATTACTTTTAACTATTACTTTCAATTCACTTTTAACCATTCTTTTTCATCTAGTTTACTCAAACTGAGTAAATGAGGAACTTAAAAAGCCATTGCTGGTATAGCAGACACTTCCAACTTCAACAAACCCTTTTCATCTATTTATTGAGTATGAGGAACTCAACTGTCTATTGCTGGTTTCATAGGCACTTTTTATGTCGCTGCGTTCAATATCATTGTATGCGTCATCAAAACTAAAACAAACAATTTCTCTTTTCCAGATTTTTTTTATATTCACTTTTAATGCCCTTAATATCATATCACATTAAAAAACAAACACAAAAATTACTCATGTAATATATTTCAAATAAATGAAATTCTCAAAAAAAAAACATAATAAAATCATAAAACACTAAAGCAGTTCATGTCCAAGTCAAACATTTCAAAAAATTATTTACTTCCCTTTTAAATGTCATTTTTGAAACAGAACAAAATACATAAAATGCTACAATAAAACTCACATTATCACAAATCAAATCTTTTTAACAACCCTCAATAATTTATTTTTATCCACCACTCATTTCAAATATTATGTTCTTATATACATAGATACCTTAATCAAATATTTTATCATTAAAAAAAATTTACCAATTCACCAACCCCCACATAATTTCAACTATATCAAATATTTTGAATTTAACGCAGTAGTTTACATTTCGTTTTTTCTTAACATTAAAAAAAAATATTAAATTTTCAATATGAAAATGTGCAATCAAATAAGAAAAGTTGGGAGCACCAACGCATACAATATTCTTCTGTTAGAAATTTCATTTCTTTTTCACGTCCTTTCACAAGTCTTTTTCTTCTTTTAACACTTTTCCCTTCTACTTTTCAAATTTTTCTTCTTTTTTTTTCGTTTTGTTGAAGAATAACCATCAACCATCTTGAGATTTCAAGACAGTAACTAAAAGCAACAGTTATTTTTTTAATTCTTTGAAAAAAAAAAAAAAATATGTACAAAAAAATAAAAATAATAGAAAAAAGTAGGTACACTTGAAAAATATTATCATATGCAATGATATTTTAAATACAAAAATTTTCACCATTTTCACCACAAGGTGTGGTGAGTTATTAATAAATTCACCACACCTTGTAAAAAAGAATATTATTATAAGAGCACATATATATTATATTACTGGCATGCGCATATCGAAATTTCACCCTCAATTCAATAATTCTCAATTACATTTATGAGTAACATAGGAAATTTCCCCTTTCCATACTATTATAAATTTTCTTCAACTATAAATCCTAAGACACGGAAAAATATTCTCAAATTTCATTTTTCCGGGCAGTAAATAAAACAACATTTTTTATTTTTTTTACAATATCGTAAAATATGGTGAAGAGCAAATATTTCAATTTTCACCTAATTTATGGTGAAAAGAAAATATTTTCCCTCTTTCTTCAATTCGAACAGGATTTAAAATATTTTTTTTATCCTTTTAAAACAGTTGATCGTGAACTTTTAACGCTTTTATATCGGTTAACGACGATACTCTAGAATTTTTTTTCCTTACGTCAATATAATCGTAAAAACAAAAACAAAAATTAAATAAGAAAATAAAAAAAAAATTTCATATGGTTCTCAATAGAAAATAACGTTTTATAGGTAGATTTTAGTGTTAAGTGTATTAAAAAAAAAAAAAGAGAAAGAAAAAAAAGAAATATTTAATTGAGTTTCTCTTCCGTTTTTTTTTTTTTTGATAAAAAAAATATACGAAATAAATAATTTTTAGCACTTACGGAATAATAAAATATACGAAATGTACGTAAGTACAAATAATATAGTTATAGTGTATTTTTTTCATTTTGAATTTATTATGAATTCATTATAATTATAATTATAAAAAATAAATAATTATTATTGGCTAAATAAAAAGAGTAAGAGAAAATAAGAGCAGACATAGAGCAAGAGAAAGAGTGTCAGAGCAGAGGAAGGTGAAAAAGGAAGACACATGGGAAAATAGAAAAGAAAAAATTATTATTTGAAGTTTATAAGGGTAAATGAATTTCAATCAAATTATTTTATTCATTTGAATTTAGACAGTAGAACTCATTTTTGAAATAACTTACCAATTTTTTTCCCCCTTTAAACTAATTAACAAAATAGTTATGCAACTAACGGAAAATTTTGTTAACTAATCTCTTATATTACTATGTAAAGACAATTTTGCTCTAAATTAGTGGTTTGTACAGTTTTGATTAAAAATTTAATTAACAAAATTTTTAATATCAATAATGGTCTGAGTTGTTCTGAACTAATAGAAACGTTAGTATCTGGCCAGTTCGATTTCGATCACAAATTCGTGAAATCGCTCCAATGTAAAATGAATTCATTTTCAAGTAAGTAAAAAACATATTAATGAAAGTAAATTAATTGCAATTTCTCTCTTTTCATTTACTCGTAAAAGAGGTACATAATTAATAGGTGCTTAATAGTATTAACATTCTCTCCATCCACAGGGGTACAATATTACCTAAACTCCATTGAAATCTAAATAAAAGGAAAGTAATTATCTTTAAGGAAAGTTTACTCTAATGAAATTTGCATAAGTGAGAATGAAAGGGAATATGAGGAATGAACATTCGATACAAGATTTTAGGGCCTAAAAGTAATTTTAGGGGCTAAAACTAAACGTTTACTTGCGTTTCAGTTGATTAATTTTATTTTTTTAGTTCATACCTGCTGCTACTAAGGCTTAAAATTCTGCATCTAAAAAAAATTTGATTTTTTAAAGATTATGTTGTCCAAACACTGGGTGAAGAGAAGGTTATAATATTCATATGAAAATTACTCAGAATTTAATTAAATCAACTAGGATAGTAATTTTGTTAAAATGGACCCAGTGTTGAATAGTCCCATATTTTTTAAAGTGTCGTTTCTCTTCTCTTAATTTAACCTTAGAATGCTTTGATTTATTTAAAAATTTTTCGATCTATAGATTTGAATATTGTTTCCCTTCCAATTTGGAACGTCGTGGTTAGGTTTTGATTTTTATGGTTTGTTTTTTCGCAGTATAAAATTTTTTAGTTCTTATAATTGTATTTTAACATTCATTAAGCGTTCATTATTGGTTGCTTCTTTGGTTTCACTCGTTTGACATAAAGTATAACAAACAAGTTTGGAAAGTTCAATGTACCAAAGCGTCACTACCGAGCTCCACTTAATGTTAACTTATCTCGTATCGTATTAACGTCGTATCAATCATATCGTATTATCGTATCGTATTATCGTCGTAACAATCGTATTATAAGTTTCAATTACATGGAATAATTATAAATCGATTAATTTGTAAGCAATATTTTTCCAAATTTTACAAATGTCCTTTATAACCAACTTCATCTTATTTCTACACTTAAACTTACTTTCTATAATCAAATAATATTTCTTTAATTAAAACATTCTTTTATAATGATGACAACTGCAAAAAAATAAAAAATGACTAAAATAATTTAATCCATCAAATTATCGTTTCTTTAAGTAAGTGTCACTACTGTATTATTCCGTACCAACCTACCGTTTTCCTTTCTGAGATGGTAGCGTGTTCACCTTGTTAATGGTTTTTTTTCCTTTTTCTTTCCATTTTTTTTTCGTTTCCAGAAAAATTAATTAGAAAAACTTGTAATTAAAGTCAGGTGGTTATTAATATTATAATAAAACTATATGCGTTTATTCACATGTATAAAACGTACATACCATACCAATGCATACCTATAAATAAACAGCATGTCTTTCTTTTAAACATGAAGTAGACATATAAGTAAATTACATGAATAAAAAATATAAAAATAGTGAAGAATAGTGAAGTTTTTTTTTTTTGATAAAATACAAAACTAAGAAATTATAAATAAAATTTTCCTATCCAAAGCACATGTTCTCTATTGGTATGTACAAGGTAAAAAATGTTATTAATAATTAATTGAAACAACATTTTGAAGAAAGAAATAGAGTTAGATTAAACCATTGGTAAATAAAATAGCACATTTCCAATTAAAAATATCGGAAGCACATTGTTCTTTTGATAATGCAAAATATCGTATTATTGCATACTTTTAGGGTAAAACAGGAAATTTCACAGTTATTTGGGTCAGCCAACGTTGCATTTCTTCTACTTCTTAACTTTCATGGAAATTTTAAATTTGAAAAAATGATTAGCCTAAATTTGTTAAATTAAGCTCGATGGCAACTGGAGAGGTGAAGAAAATAGAAAGTAAAACCATTTCTTGAATCTAGTTACATGACAGGAGCCAGTTTAGAGCCCTCAATTTTTCTATTCCAAATTTCAGCAGTATGAATTCATTAGAAATGTGCCTCTCCTAATTTGGAACGGCCAGAAACTCAAAAGGAATGGGAGAGTTTTTTTTTCTGGGCAAATTATTAAAAAATTTCAATTCCGTAATTTTCTCTTGCAAGGGCAGACAAAATGAAACTAATAACTACTTTTTTATCCAATATTGTACGAAAATGTGGTAAAGCAGAAAAGAAATGGAAAATTACGGAAAGGCACTTAAATGAACTATCAAAAAATGTGAAAATTCTAAATACACTTAGCTTGGTACAATAAAGCAGTCAAAGAACAACAAAAAAAAACAAATATAGAAAGTAAAAAATTTATAAGAAAAATAAATTAATTTATTTAATGAAAGAAAGCTTGAATTAAAGGATATTAATTTGTTATATATTTTCATCTGTCACAAGGATAATGATAGATGAACAAGGATAAACGTTGAAATTAATGCGACGACAAACACTTCAACACAAGGATTTTTTTCTTCTTTATTTATTTATTTCTTACCGTAAGAAATTTGTGTATTTTACGTTTATAAAACTTTTTTTTTTTTTATTGTTGATCTTTCTAATGATTAGGTACAAAAAAAAATAATGTAGAAATTATTTATTTATAAAAATTATGAAAGTTCATTTAACGGGAAATTCATAAAAATTAAGAAAATTTGGTATTTAATTGAGAGGGATTCGGAAAAATTCAAGCTTCGTTTATATTAATCCTTGGAATTTTGTGATTCCAAATTACATGAGCCTTTATCGTTTACACGCCTGATAAATTACAATATTGCCATTAAGATGAAACAAATCTAGGGATCACCAAAACTATTTGTCGGAAATCCATAAGAATAGCTGACACATTGCCTTCCATTTACAATATATCATTGATATCTATATGCAATAAGCCACAAACTAGTTCAAATTTCGTTATTTAATTTTCCTGAAATTTGTTCAGGAGAAAATTTTTACGAGTTCATAATCACACCATTATGGAGTAATCTTTGATTTAGTTTGACAGTGATATAATAGTTTTCTGTTTCTTAATTGTCAAGCGAATCCTAAATATTATTTTTAATTTACAAAATTTACTAATATTATGGCATACTTTTAGGGGCATTATATTAAAATTTTAACATTTACCGGAAATTTTCCCAAAAATTTAATTTTAATTCGGAAAACAGGAATGTCTTTGATATAATTCAAATATTCTGCAAAAACTTTTCATTCCTTTCCAATAATTTAATTTGAGAACAATATTAAAACTAAAAAAATTTCTTGCATACTTTTAGGCATTTGGAAATGAAATTTCACCAATTTACTCTCAAAATATGTTAAACTAAGACAAGTCTCAAAAAAAAAAACTTTAAAATACATTAAAAATTTCCCAATACCCCGATATTTAGAGAAAAACTCCCGCTATACAATAAAAATAAAAAAAAAATATACACGACCATTAAGAAAAAAATAAAATTATAATAAAATAAAAACGTTGAAAATAAATGATTTTCAGAACTGAAACGTTCAAATATAACACAGAAAAAAAAGGATAATAATCCTTGAAAAATAAATTTTCTCATTTATTTTCCAACCGTGTTTATTTTCAATTTTTTTTTTTTTTTGTGTTCTTCTTTTATTTCACATTTTTTCAGTTGTTCTCTTTCTGTTTTCATTATCCTTTTTTTTTCTTCATTTTTTTTTTTATATATATTATATTTTTCCGGTTTTTCCGTTTTTCGAAGTGATAAAAATGTTTTAGTTTGTTAAATAAACTAGGACTGGCGAAAATGAAAGGCAAAACGAAAAAATGGTATACAAAACAATAAACATGAAAAAAAGGCAACAACAACAACAACAACTAAGCAATATCAAAATATCAGGAATGAAATCGTTATTGTGGTAATTTATCTGTGTCATAATTTTCAAGGATATTCTTCTGAACTAAATAAAAATCGTGTATATATTTTTCATTTCGTGTTGTTGTTGTTGTTTTTATTATTTTTGGTTTTTCATGTTTTTTGATTTTCGATTTTTATTCTCGGTTTCAGTTTTTCTTTTTATTTCTTGTTCATTTCATTTTGGTTTTTGTTTCATTTTTTTTTTGTTGGTTTGACTATTCTATGTACAGTTATAGTCCTTGCTATTTTCTCATTTCAAAATTTTAATGATATTTGAAAAGTTTTATCTTTCACGTTTTTTTTTATTTTAGTGGGTTTTCTTTTCATATGAAAAATTAAAAAAAAAATCGAAACGTGTGTTACTCCTTTATTTTTTTTTTTTCATTTTTTTAAGACTGCTGTGTGCTAATTTTTTAAAAATTATAAAAAAAATAAGAAGAAGAGAAAGCTAGACAGACATCGAAGGATTTTAATTGTTATAAAAATGGAAAAAATTTTATTATTTTAATAAATTTTAATTATTTTTTAATTTTGTTTAGATAAAAAATAAAATTATGATTTATGTACAATGTATGAATGGCGGTGGTGGTATTTCGCAGACCTTTAATGATTTATTGATTTCGAATACAAATTAGAGGAGGATAGTATGAATTTATTTTTGTTTTTTAATTAAAAAATCTTTTTTATATTTTTCCAATATCTGACCTTGTATATTTGAATTAGATTGGATGTAAATATTGGCAATTGAACAGCTAATTCAGTTCATTTTCCCTGCAGTTACCTTGGATTCCGCTATGACCCGAAACCCAGACCAAGTTGA